GAGTTGGAACTGTAATGGAAGATATGAGTCTTTTATTGAAATGACGGGAGCATCAGACGTCATGCTGTAGTAACTGCATGAGGCAGACATGACCTGCCCTGTAAACTGATAATCTCTGCCCGGTTATCTACAGTTTTACAGCCATTGAGCAATGAAGGGGCACTGCCAGAGCTGGGGGACAGGAGACACCGCCTATTTCTGCCAAGTCTGCAGTCACGCAGCCTCATCATGCCCACACAGGTCTTTCAACATGAAATAACTCCCATGCATGTCCCAAGATCCGTCTGTCACGTCGCACACTGAACCCAAGACACGTTGCAACACCTGAGAGCTGCCAAAATGATCCGACCGTCTGGCCTCTGGTTTTTAGGAAAGATTTTATTACACAAAAAACCCAGTGAACTGTGAGCTGGTCTGGATGAGGAAACACCAACTCCTCCTCTTCAGATCTGTAGCCTTTTCAAATCCAGAATGTATTGAATGTTTGCTCTCAGGTTTCTGAATGTGAACCGGCAGACGGGCTTTGTTGCAGAATAGCAACCATGTTGAGATTTGTTTACTGTCAGAAAAATATTTAACTTTAAAAATATTTAATTGGAGCTAAAAACTAACTATCTAGGTTAGTACATATACAAGTTTTAAACATCCATAAATGTCCTCATTTGATCTTTTTTTGGATGATTTAAAACTATATATATATAACTCCCTCTAATGCTATGATTTATGTACCTCTTAGAGGCATGCCTTTTTCCCTCCTGCTGGATGAAATAAGAAGATTTAGCATTATTAAATAAAAATGCACAAATACATCTAAATCACATTAAATTACATCTAAAATGATGAACTAAATAATTAAATGTCATTTAAGAAATGCATTTATTTGAATATGAATATAATTACCTCATATATGTAAATAATGTGGAGGTATTTGTTTTTTTTTTCTTTTGCAATGTTCTGATATGATCAAATTAAAAGAGCCTGTTTAAATTGGTTGATTTCCATCCAGTTTTTTGGGTATAGTGAACAAATTCAAGGAGAAGCATCATGTTCATACATCTTAAAATCCTCTAATGCAGGGGTGTCAAACTGGTTCCAGAAAGGGCCGTGTGGCTGCGGGTTTTCTTTCCAACCAAGCAATAGCACACCAGACTCCAGTCATCTTATCAAGTGAGTCCTATCTGAACATGATGACTTGATGAGATGATTGGAGTCTGGTGTTCTATTGCTTGGTTGGAAAGAAACCCTGCACCCAGACGGCCCTTTCTGGAACCAGTTTGACACTCCTGCTCTAATGCAACCTCGTTGGGGATTTGGGATCATTCTTCTGGTGGAATATCCAATGGTGCATGGATGCAATTTTGGGTGGGGACTGGGAAGGAAATGTCCCCTGCACTTTTTCAAACGTCTGTTTTGGTCACCTGCACATTTTACTGTCCGAGAACAATGTTACGCTACAGTGCAGTACACAGACAATTGAAGCCCGCTTTAGATACATGCATGCATGCATCCTACTTCTGAAATCAAAATTTCATCCATGCAATGGTGTCAAAGTTTGATTTATCCCATCCCACATGGGGGAGTCCATCCACAGTCTGCACACTGGGTTCCTGAGAAAGACCCTTAACTCCACACTGCTCCCTGGGCGCTGCACAGTGGCAGCCCACTGCTCCCAAAAGTAGAAGGTTAAATACAGAGTGTTAATTTCTCCATTGTGAGGTCAATAAAGTTCCGTTATAAAGTTCCATCTATCGTTCCTTTCCATTTTCCAGATTCCTCCTTGATACGATTTCTGCTAATGTTTGTTTATTTGGAAAATGACAAAAAATGTAAAGGAGACAAGGTTAGAATGGCAATCAGATCATGTGTGAGTTTTAGCTATAGGTGTAAGTCACAATATGGGGTAAGATTTTTGTCTGCGTGCTCTGAATGCTTTTCTAGTTCATCGCCAAGTTCAGGAAACTTTTATTGTTTGAAAAAAGAAATAAATAAAAGGGAGCATTCCTTATACTAAAATCAATTAAATGGCTGGACATAAAGTCAGCGAAAAGGCTGCAGAAGTCCACTGAGATACTTTAAAGGAGCCGTAGAAAGGTTAAAGCTCAGCTCAAGAAAACGGCTCATCTGCAGCGAGAAGTGAGATAACTCAACATACCTGCACTATACTAAATCAATAAATGCTTTTACAAAAGATTATCTCAGAAATGTTTGAGCAATAATAAGAGATTGTGAAAGTTGAAGGACCAGTTTCTGGAATGAGTCTTTGCTACCAACCTATTAAGACACCTGTAGCTTTAAAAAGTGTTGAGGCTATTTGGTTATGGTGCAATCTTTTTTTTTTCTTTTTTTATATACAAGGTGACAAGTTTACTAAGCAGAGAACAGTTCTTCCTGCTTGCAGCAATATCTCAGAAGAATTTCTCCACTTTCGGTGCATGGTTGAGTCACTTTGGTCTTTTATGCCTCTTTTTCATCATTTTATGAAAAACAGGCGAAGCACCGTCATTTTAATGTTTTCCCTCGGATCATCTCTATTAAAGCAGCAAGTGCGTGAACGAGTTTGATTTCCTTTGGTTGCTTCAGCCTCTCTATCTGGATTCCCTATGGGGCCAGCTGTCACAAGCGCAGCTGACCCAGTTTACTTAGGTGGGCCGAGGCTACGCTGACCAGTGCAGCCATTTTGATTCAAAGCCTCATTGTGTGAGAGGGAAACAGAGGACAGCAACAGCGTCCAGTGTTTAGAAATGCAAACTCTCTGACCCCCAGCGTCCTCGCTGCTCTTTGGAGGAGCAGCAGCAGCTCAGTGGGCTCACTGTGTCGTTCTGTGGATGCCCTTCATCCCACAACCTCTTAATCACTGTTGTGAGACAGAGGAAGGGGGGGTTCTGGGAAGGACAGGATTGGTGGAGCTGTTGCTAAGGGGAGGGCTTCTCCCATTGATGGATAGATGTGGCTGGACACACATGCTTTAATGCTGTCTATTTCCTACTCTTCTGTACAAAACCATGTGGGTAAATAAAAGATTTGCTGATATTAAAATTAAATAAATCCTGTGCTGTGTAAAAAAAACATAAAACTCTACTTTAAAAAGACAGGCTTCCCATCCCATTTCTTAGGCCATTTTCAGAATATTTTTTGAAGGTTGTAGTCCTGTATTTAATTGACCTGCTTTTCTAGATTGCATAGATTGTACTTTGCCTCTCTCCAAGTGGCTTTAGAAAAAGGTTTCATTTCAAGGGGCCGGTAGGTAAAATTATGGCAAATGAAAAACATGAAAACAGAGACAATAAAAAGAGGCACCAAAGGATTCCATACAGGTATTTTTAATATAATGGACTAGAAAAATATAAAAGTTGTAAGACTTAAAGTTATGTTAAAATCAGAATATTTATTTTTATTTTATTTGATATCATTTTTGGTCAGCTCCTTTTTTTGGCCTGCAGAGCTTTAGAGTTTCTTGGTCCTTTTGTAGCCTCCTGGATTAGTTGTCTATGCTCTCCTGGAGTACTTTTTTGTCGGCCATACCTGGGATATTTCACCAATGTTCTCTCCAGGCCTAAAGCCTTAGAAATGTCTTTATTAGTCTCTCAAGACAGAGATGTGACAGGAACTTTATTTTTTAAAGATCTGTCAGCCTACTTCATACTTTAGTAAAAGGGCTGATGTTTAAGTAATTTTGAAACTGAACTGGTGTTCAGTGCTCGCCTACTGGTTAGAGCAGCGCACTTCTGCTCGGAGAAGGTTGCAAGTACCCAGTTCAATCCCCAGTCTCCACTCTGGCTCCCTGAGCAAGACCCTTAACCCCACACTGCTCCCCGGGTGCCACCCAATGACAGCCCACTCCTCCCCAAGCGGATGGGTTAAATACAGAGGAAAATTTCTCCAATCAATGAAGTTTAATTATATGTAAGCAGGTATTAGTTTAGTTAGGTTGAATAGCTTTCATCCCTTTAATAAGCATTTAGAAGAAAAATCCTCAAATGACAGCACTGTAATAGAAATAATTGACGCTCCGTATTTTCAGCTGTCCTCCGTATTCTAGAAACATTCATCCCAAATCTAACCTGAATGTTTAATGGATTTTATTGCCATGGTGCTTTATGTTTTACCCCAGTCTTATCAGCTCTTATGATTCAGCGCAGTTTACAGCCATTTATGGCAGCTACTATTCCCAGGGTTTGAGACGATTAGTGGACTTTGTAAATGTCACAGATTGAGCTGGCAAATGGCTTCTTTGGGGATAGGTGAACTTTAATGGATAAAGCAGCAATATTCCCACTTCTTACTGCATTTACTAATGTTTCCCTTATCTGTAAAAGAGCTAAAGCCTCTGAACTTTAGAGCAAACGAGCTCACCTATAATTTGCATTAAACAGCCATCAGTGTGAAATACAGAGCCACATTTGCATCAAGCCAGGAATTGTTTGCATTCATCTTTCGTTGAATGGTAATTAACAAATACAAAAGCTTCCCAAAAATGAAAAGTAAAAATTGTAAGTTAAACCTCAGTTACTGGATTGGATGGAGGATTAAGATTTGATCCAGTTTTATCATGGGAAAATACATTAAAAAAAAAAATTAGGCTACTAGAAGTCTGCATCCTGAACTTTAACCAGTTAACTTGTCCCCCATCTTTCATTAGTGGACAAACTGATTAATGCAGGTGTGTGACCTCAGTAACCATGGTGAGAATAACCAGACACTGATGTCCAGGAAGCAGCAAAGTTGGGCCCATTGCAATAGTGTTCCTCACCATTCCACATAAAAAAGCCACATTCAGGATTAAAACTTCTAGCAGGAGAAAACACACCTATGCAATTTAAAGAGCATTCCTTAATATTTTAAAATAAAATGCATATCAAAACTTCCCTTCATTCGTTTTAGTTTAATATGGCATCATGAGTCATTGAAGCATCTTAAAGCAGACATTAGCCTTTCCACTAGTAAAGGCTCTGAACTTTATATCCCAATAAACTGCTATAAGGAAGAGAAGGAAACCATTGTAAAATGTTACCATTTATTTCATCTGCAATTAATGTTATGCATCAATATAAAACTGGTTTTGAAATACAGACAAACATGTGTTAAAAATCAGTGATCTGATCAGGGTACTTTTAGAAAATCAAGCTAAGGCACACCAATATGAGGAAGGAATTGAACTTTGAACAGTTAAGAGCCCTTCAGCTCAGCTTTAAGATTTAGAAATTAAATCAAGGAGGGGCAGAACAACCAGCATTCAACATCTCCTGCAGGCAGGAACCTTTTTAATTCACAAACATGTCTGAACCTGAAACAATGTGAAGTTAAGGTTCTGTAAAAAAAAAAAGCTGTGCATCATCTGGCTAAAAAGAGTGAGAAAACCTCTGCAGAGCACAGAGGCGGCCTTTAAGAGGGGGGCAGGCCAAAGCGTGCTGCATCACTGGCTTCAGGTAGGTGGTGGAGTGCAAAGAATTAGTGAAACAAAGTGCCCTGCTCAGATCACTCTCCTTTTTACAAAAACAAAAAAAGCTAAAGCAGTCCAGTTGTAAAGAAACTTCTATCTCATGAAGTTTCCTCCTCCGATTTCCCTCTTGTATCTGTTGGTGAGGTGATCAGCCTGCAGCGTGAGCTTGGACAGCACGCCAAACAGTCCTCTGAGGTGATAATGGAACTGATGCTCCAGGTCAGCGTTGTCCTCCACAGGCAGATCCCCCTTCATTGAAGACTGCTCCTCCTCTTGCTTCACAGCAATCTCCAGGAAGCTCGCCCCACTGCTCATCTCCCTCTTCAGCAGGCCCCACTCCATGTCGTTCTTGATGGACTTGAGGAGCAGGTAGTGCTCATACATGTCCCTCTGCTTGTTGCTGGAAACCTGGGGCTCCTCGTTGTTATTGTTGGCCTGCTCCTCCAGGGGCACATCTCGGAGCAGGCTGGGCACCATGATGGTCTCGTCCATGTTATTAGCAGCTGCTATGAAGCGGTGCATGACGTTGAGGAGGGAGTGCTTGTTGCTGGCTGGGTCGTTGCTGATCTGCATCATGGTGAAGGCTTTAGGTTTGGCTTAGCTTATGAGAGGTTTAAAAGAGATTGACCTGCAAAGAGAGGACAATAGGGTTTATTATAAAAAAAAAAATACAGGAAATGCAAAGAAGTGCGGATGTTTGGCACAAACTTCATATTCAATAAAGCAAATTCGATCCAAAAGAGATGAAACTTAAAGCCTATAATATAAAGACTAATCTCTATTAGTAATAATCCCTAAAAAAGATTATTGTAATTTCTCAGCAACGAATCAAATCGCCATGACCTTGACTTCTACAAGAATAAACCCATAAAAGAGAGGATGCAGACTGACCTGAAGCTTCTGGAAACCTGCGAAGATGCTAGTTGTTAGTTTCGTCAAAAACCGGACCTAAACCGCCGGGAAGGAAAGGTGAAATTTTCCTCAACTGTCTGGAAGCTTGGGCCGTTTTTATACCAGAAGCGCCGGCTGAAAAAAATAAAACAAATCAAAGTCCGCCTCGTTTTATTTCTCTACCGAGTCAATTGGAGGCCTCTGAGAATGTGGGCGGAGCTCCAAAGCTTCTGATCCACAGCTGACCAATCAGAGAGGCGATTAGAGCTGTCAATCAGGCCTATTAGTTTAGGGCTTGGCGGCCTTTATCCGCATCCTGGTTACATCTCTTTTGTACTACCAGGCCGTTTCTGCCCGAAGAATATCAATAATACTAGTCTGTCTGGCTAAACGAGCGGGAAGCACAGAAATTATTGGTTAAAAGTGGTTCATTTGAAGTTTGGGATGTGTTTCGTTTTTCTTCCATCGTCATCTTCATTTCCGCATAGAATATTTGCGCAACAGTGCCCCCTGCTGGCTTAGCCACACGCAGGAACTAGACGTCGACATTTACAATGTTAAGCGATGTAATTTTACCCATTTTTGTTAGAAAATATTAAGGTTTTAATTAAGCTGATCAGATCCAAATTTTCACAAGTCAGGTGTTTTTATTTGCTTCAATTGCTGCAGAGCTGTGGCAAAAAGTCTAATTAACATTTGACTGTGGTCATGCTGTTATGTTCTCTTTTTAAGAGTTTCTCATTTCACAAATATGGATTAATTTTCAGACAAAACATAAATGAGAAGAGCTATTTAACACAGAGAATCAGCAGGTTAAACGAGTACTAACAAATACAAGTAAACACCAAACCTTATAAAATGTAAGGATAAAAAAAAACCCCAGTCAGTGATTTAAAAAATGAAACGTTTCTGTCATTTGCATAAAACAAAATCTCTTGGTTTGAGAGTGAAATTTAATATGATAAGATGGTAAGATTAATAGTGTAAAATCAGATGAGAGAATTTATTTCATTAGTTCAATCTAAAAAAAAATTAAACACCTACAACCTCCAAAGTAAAACCCCAAATTCATTCTCACCTCCACCAGGAAAGGAAGTCATCAAAAAGTCAATGCTACAGCAGCAAACCTGTTCTGTGCAGAAAAGGCTGCACAGAACAGGGACTGCTGTAAGTTTAAAAATGGATATGGAAACTGACGTCCAAGTGTGGAAGAAGAATGTAGAGTCAAGCAATAATTAAGTAAAGGACGAAATTTTAGGTTTCCATTGACTGTAACTGATAGTCTTATAAAGTTAGGCACAGCAGTAAATCTTCCAGGTATCAAACATCGCCTTAAAAACAGATAAGACAGATTTATTTGGAAAACAATACCTGGACTTTTAGGCATTTTTTTTGCATATTCCTTTAAACTCTTATGTCCCTTCAAGTTCAATAATTTTCTGCATCTAAGGTTGAGTTTGTTTAACCAACAGAGATGCATCTCGGATATGCTGAGTAGCCTTATGTTAACACAACAGCAAATGCAGGTGATTGGCTTTCCTTATTTAATGTAAAAGTGATGTAAATGTTTTCTGATTTTAAAAATGTAAACCATAAAACAAATACACTGGAGTATACAATTCCATTCTATTCAATTATCTATATAGCACCAATTCAAAACACATATAATCTCAATGCACATTTAGAGACAATTCAACCATACAGTCAGATTGGTTCAAAGTTTCTATCTAAGGAAAACCAGCTGATTGCATCAATTCATTGACTCAACAGCAATCCCTCACACCAGATGAAGCTACAATGATGCAGAATGGGAGAATAGAAATAGAATGAAGCGGAATGATGAAAAGGGGTCCCTATGTCCTCAAGCAGTCTAAGCCTATAGCAGCATAACTATAGAGATATTTCCGAATAATAGTAACCTGAGCCACTCTAACTATAATCTTTATCAAAAAGGAAAGTTTTAAGCCTACCTTTAAAAGTAGATGGGGTTTCTGCCTCACAGACTAAAACTGGAAGTTTTTTTACTCAGGAGAGACGCTTGATAACTAAAAGATCTGCCTCCCATTCTATTTTTAGAAATGTTAGGAACCACTAGTAAACCTGCAGATTGAGAGCGAAGTGCTCTGTTAGGAACATAAGAAACAATCATATCTCTGATATAAGATGGAGCTTGGCCATTTAAGGCTTTAAATGTGAGGAGGAGGATTTTAAATTCTATTCTTGATTTAACACAAAGCCAATGAAGAGAAGCCAGGATAGGAGAGATATGATCTCACTTTTTTATTTTCATCAGAACTCTGGCTGCAGCATTTTGGATCAGCTGAAGGCTTTTAACTACAGTTTGTGGATTTCCTGATAGTAAACAATTACAATAGTCCAGCCTTGAATTAACAAATGCATGGACTAGTTTCTCAGCATCACCCCTGGACAGGAGATGTCTAACTGTTGCAATATTCCAAAGATGAAGGAATTCTAGAAACCTCTTTGATATAGGACTGAAATGACATGTTCTGATTAAAAAATTACAAGATTTTTTACTTTACTGAGATTAATTGAATCCCATCCAAATGAAATGACAGACTAATCAGCTTCTTGTTCAAAGACTCTGGTCCAAAGAGGATAACTTCCCTTTTGTCTGTTTTCAGAAGCAGAAAGTTAAGTCATCCAGGTTCTTATGTCTTCAAGACACACCTGTAGTCCATGTAATGGGTTAGTTTAATAAGGATTATAGAAGCCAAGTATCATCAGCATAACACTAGAAATGAATCCCATCATGTCTAATAATTCTACCAATTGGGAGCATAAATATAGCAAAGCTAACTGGTCCTAGCACTGATCTCTGTGGAACTCCACAGGTATTCCTGGAGCATCCAGAAGATGTATCATTAGCAGAAACAAACTCAGATAAATATACATGCATGGGTGAATAAAGCTAGTTAAATGTGTTTTGTACTTGTGAAAAAAAATATTTTCCAGCCATATTTTTGTTGTTTTAAACTGATAAGATTAGAATTCTGTATGTGCAATAATTTAACCACTTAATACATTAGACCAAACTGAGCCTTTTAATAATTAAGTGGTTTTCAAATAAAGTAAGTTTGATACAGTCGAGTCTCTGCACATTCAGCAACTCGTGTCAGTTCTGTTTGTTTTGCCAACATGTAAATAGAGGAAATCTCGAATGTTCCCAGAGGCTCAAAGTAAAAATACAGGAAACACAGGTTGGAGACTCTCTTATTTCATGCGAATATATCACAAATTTTGTCAGAAGATATTTCACTAGATGTAATCCTGATAAAAATTATTTATTCATAAAAAAGGTGCATGACCCATTTTCTTTAATTACTTCATACCTTGTATTTGGTTAGAGTATAACACATTTTCTGCTGCTTAGTGAGGTTCCATCATATGCTCCCTAAATCATTAAATAGTTTAATAATATATAGTCAGATATTAGTACTAATGTATATGCTGTTATTAAGCCATCACTTATATTCTCTGAAAAAGTTTTTCAGAGCTTATATTTCTTCACTTATTTGATGAACAAGCCCGGTTTCATCCTCCGATTGTGGAAAAGATCAATCTGAGACGACACACTTTCACAGATACAAGATTTCATTTTTATTTATTGTTTTTTTTTTACATGCATCCACCAAAGAAAAAAAAAACACTAACACTGAAGACTGTAAAACGGAGTTATCTGAGCTGCTGAAATTGGCACATAATGGCTGGCTTTCATCAGTACTGGCCCACAGACCATTTAAGGCTTGTTTATGTCTACATTATTCATCCATGGCACAGAGCAACGGCCACTCATCCAGCTCTCTGGCTCCCATTATCTCACATAGAAAGACACAAGTGGTGTTGAAGAGTTTCTTTAAACTATAATCAAGCTTATTAATGACAAAGAGGCAGCGGCAAGAAAGGAAACAAATACTGACAAGTTAACTTAAATGGAAACTTAACTAATGACAGCTAGACTTAAAGAAACTCATATTAGACCAACTTTTAACAATCTTTGAAATAAGGAGGTTCATTTTTTTTGGTCAAACAACATCATATGTCCCTTTAACACATTTACTTTCTGCTTGATGAGACGCTAAAAGTAGAAGCTGTCAGTTATGCCTACTAAAAAGACACTAACACGTGTAACATTAAAATCTGAGCCCAGTTTGCACGTAGAGCTGCCCAACAGTCACCTGCAAACAAAGAGGACAAACAGGGAGATAAACGGACTCATGAAACCAGGTCGATGTGAAACAGGAAGTGAGGCCAGTGAAAGTCTCACCTGTGACAGGTGACTGTTAGACCATCTCATACTGGTTGTTGGTTATGTAGCGAGACAAGCAGCAGGCCAGGAAGATCCCAATGAGCTGAAAGGAAATGAGAGAAGACGGAAACTGTTTTTATCTGCTTCATAAAGCTGAATTACAGAATAAACGACACTATACCTTCAGACGAGTCAGAGTTTCACAGCAAACAAGGTCATTTTATTTATTACCTGCCGTTTTCTCTGCTTGACAACATTTAACTTAAATCCTTTAACCCATAATTTACAACCAGATGACTGATTATAAACATTGGACTCTGCACGTTTACATTTTACCTGATAACAACACTGTACTGGCTTAATTATTACCTGGGTGGGGGGACTTTAATTGCTATTTCGTCATTAGAATCAATGATCTCCTCCCTTTTGTTAATTCTTAGCTTTACATCCATAAGTTACCGTCTCACATCTCTGCAGTTGAGCCGTCATTTTTTTTATCTGGGCAGACAGCGTTTGAAAATACATTTCCCAATACATATGATCTTGGTTTTTTATTATCATGGACAAAAAAACATTTTAACACACTTTTACATTTTTTTTGATCTATCAAGAGATTTAAAAAAGCTGGTTAACCAAGCAGGTTTTGTGTGAAACAATGATTATTCCCCATACTTAATTATAATATTTTTTATATAATTTCTTAATAAATATATTTGTTTCTAACAGCAATGTTTCAAGTAAAGTACCAAATGGATTTGAGATAATTCACAATTCAAGCCTTTTATTGTGCTTAATGTTTGACAAGGATTTTAAATTACAGTGTAAAAAAGGGGAGCATATCAACATGATCTACAGCCGGGCTTATTCTCGTCGATCAGTTCATGTTCTTAGCATCAACATCCAGATATTAATATGAGAAAATGATTTAATTCCAAAGATACTCTCCGGTTTTCCACCAAACATTTAGTGAAATAAAAATATGCTGTTTGATCTTAACTTCAGTAAAAAGATAAAAAAAAAAAAAAAAAAAAGTCAAACAAGAGAAACTTCAACATTTAATTCCATTTGACTGGATAACTGTTTAACTTCCTCCCACTAGTTAGTTGTAGCGCAGCAGGAAAGCAATCAATGAAACCTCTGAAGTACTTTAAACCATATCTTAATTAACCAAACATATACTTTGGGTTTAAACTGAATTTTTAACTTAAAATATTCTACTCACACTTTTTATGCTGTCTTTTTGGCCATTATTTCTTTAAGCTGCAGTGAATCGTGGGATTAGATAGGCAATGCTCCCAAAAAATATAAAAAGCTGAAACTATACTGCCCTCTGCTGTTGCTTAAATGAACTGCTTTTAATTTAACTTTCCACTAAGAATTAATAAAATGAGAAAGGAAGTAAAAAAATGTTTTTTTTTTCCAAAAGTAAACTGCTCAAACTGTAGTAAATGCATTCTAACTACACACTACCTTCCTTGGGGAAGCAGTCTATGGTTTTAAACCACTCCATCTACAAAACAGTATGAGTCAGATTTTAATGAAAAATTTTATTCATGACTCAACTGTAGCAATATTTGGATGCAGACTCATGATCCAGTCTAGATACTGGAAATTCAAACTAGGTACAAATTAAGTAGATAAAGTTCTGAGGGACCACACCTACATCCTCCATATTGTCCAGAACTGAAGCAACATTCTCTCCATCTGAATGCTGACAGAATCTTAGTGTTTAGCATTAAAATGCTTTTAAATCTCTCCTTGGCATGCCGCTTTAAGTCTCCAAGCTACTTCCTTTATACAACATCTCCCTTGACTTCCTTCTCCTCACTAAATAAATCCATTTAGGAGAAATCTGGAAACATTGCTGTCACTACTGTTCCTGTGGCCTGTCCCGGTGTTATGCACTGAGACCTGAGTTTAGGCTACTCTTGAATCTTTAGCTTCTTATGGCTGAAAGTAAAAAAAAAGAAAAAAGAAAAGCTTTAAGTAAACAATGGAATTACATATTTTATTTCTTAAATGTAACAGATTCAAATATAACCACTTGTTCTTTTGAAAAAAAAAAATAATTCAGATGCATGTCGTTTAACAATAGGTCAGGTCAAATAATCAATAGAAGTTAACTTTGAACATTTACTAATCAGCAGAATGCAGAGCCTAACAGTGTATAAACAAGCTGCACTTAAAACTATAACACGTTTAATTTCACAATATTAGTTGCTTTCCTTTTTTCTGATCTTATAGGGCCTTAAAAATGTAAATAAAGTTTTTCCAGGACATGGATGATGAGAAGGACTGAGATGTCATAATCAGAACCTATTTTTTTTTTTTGCACACACATATCTTTAGGTGTGAATAGCCTAGTTATAAGCCAACACCCGTGGTTGAGAATGATCATTAAATACCCCTGCTAATGCCATATTAGCTACATACAGACTTTATCCCCCATTGGTTAGAAGAACTGGTTGGTTGATTGTCTAATATTAAGAAAATTAATCAACATACCTGGAAGAAAGCAATTCCAAAGGAGACACCAGCGATAACTCCTAGGTTGGCCTCCAACACATTGGTCACCAGTGAGAAGCAGCCCTAACAGGAGGAGCAGATCGGTTTAGATCAACGTAAAGCTTCCAGCAAACATTGAAGTGATTGGTCCTGACTCACCGTAGTGTATACTTCTGTCCCAGCCTTGTCCAGGTCTTTCAGGGACTCCTGGGAACACTTGTCGATTTTACAGCAGCTAACTGGTATCCCGTTCTCTTTAAAATACTCTGTGTCCTTCCAGTCAGTGTAATTTCTCTTGCCACAGCAATGCAGCTGGAAATACAGAAAAAAAAATCTTTAAAACGACAAAAACTGACCACAATGTCAGAATTAAAGTCATACAGGAGAGAAATATTCAGCTTCTCATAAAATATGATTTTAATATCAGTATAAACAAAATAAAAGCCTCAGAAAGACTTGAATCAACTGAATTAAATACTATGTGAAATATATTAGATTGGATCCCAACCTTTCTCTGGAGGGTGTCGACTGCAATGCTCTTGCTGTCTGTGGCGTTGTATGTCGACACTGCACTGCTGTAAGCTTGGCCAATTTTATCTTTAATCTGTTGGATTTCAAACAAAGGAAATAAAAAATGTTCAAAGCAGAAGGTTAGTGATTCCATTAGAAAATAAAAAAGCTCATGTTTTCATGCATTACCTCATGCCTGAAGATGAAACCTGAAACTCCTGCTACAAGCTCAGCCAGGAAGACCAGAGTCAGAAACATGGCGTACTGGAAGACAGGAGAAGCACAGTTACCCCAGAGCAGAGATCTGAAAGGACGTTTCCTTCCATCTCCTCTCCTACCAGTTTGAGCATCCATGGGCTTCCTCGGCATGTGGCGAAGCAACCAAACAGTCCAAAAATAACGATGATGACTCCGGTGCCGATCAGGACGTACGGTGCGTTGGTGGTATCCTCAGAGATAAGGGAGAAGTAGGCCTCCAAGCTGACTTTCCCCCAGACTCCCACAGCCAGCAGAATCACACCTGTGAACTAAAGGCCACAGCAGAGAAGATGATGTGATTTTTAAGTTGTTCCTGCAGAAAAATACAGCACTACTTCTACCTTTCCATCTATAGTGATGCTTCTGCATTTTGCTATATTCTTATCAAATATATAAATGTCAGGGGACATTCAGAATTTTAACTGTTAAAAGTGTCTATTTTTTTTTCTTGAAATTCTTTTACTCTTATTTTCTTTTATCTTATCTCTTCTTATCTCCTATCCAGAATGATGTAATTGACTACATTTCCATAATTTTGGAAATGAACCCTCAGCCTAGCAGATTTTGCCGTGTTTTTCTAACCGAACCCCAAAGAAAAACAAGCAATCAGCACATGATGCCTCCCTTCACCAAAGAAGACAACTGGAAGATTTGGGCACTTGGATAAATTTGTAGGGACAGAACTGCAGACAAGAGCTTCTAATAGGAAAGAGATAGGTTTGCCTCTTTGAATAAAAGCATAATAATTATGAATATTCTGAGAACAATTAAAGTATAAGACCAATTTTCCTTCTAAGCAGTTTTCTCCTAAGCTGCCAGAGGAAGGGTGCTCCACCAGGCTAAAGGCCTAAATTAATTGCCTTTGCAATATCGCTGCAATTTAATGAAAACAACATTTTAAAATCAAAGTATCGTCTTCCAACCAACTATTATGGAAGTTTTTTTGGGGGGGGCAAAATCATTCAGCGCTACCTCTGCAACAAAAGGAACAACAAAAAACCCACAGAAGTTCTGATTTGTACAAATAATTTGGTGATATCTCTGAATATTGTGGGTATCACGGAGCAATGCCCGACCCTCCAAAATATATACTGTACAGTATGTATTTTGTATATACTTTACAGTATATACAAAATATATACTGTGGAGCCACTGACAATATTGGAAAAAAAAAATTGAGGGAGGTTTTTATTTTGTCTGCTTAGTAAAATTGGACGTCTCAGTATCAGGTTTTTCTCTGCAGATCAATTGTAACGATCATCTGCAAAGATGAGATTTTTTTTAAAACTGATAATTATTAACTGGTTGACAAAAAGCACGTGTTTCAATATCTGTGAACCTCATCCTCTACTTTAATATGTGTGGGGGGAAAAAAAAAAGAAGAGCCAGTTTCTCTTTAAACTAGTGTGGAGCTAAATGTCTGACGTCTAATCTGTTCTGTGATCAGCAGCTTCGACCTTCAGCAGAGAACATGGAGAAACAACAGCCATGATAAGGCTGCAACATACAGCCCCAGCAGACACAGAGAAAATATGGCAGTTGGCTTTAGAGAGAGTTTATTATAAAACACCTCCCTGATGAACTCCACAGGAGAAGTGGACCCCACATAATTCAAGCTCAGACCTAGACAGGCCCCAACATCCCCACATTAAGACAGTTGCTGGTAAATAACTTGACCCATAAATTAAAGAGTTAATCAGCCGCTAAGTCATATAAACTGGCTTTATTGTATATTGGATTCCAGTCAGGAAAATACTTTTTTTATCAAGACTTCATTTCGAACCCTAATCCTGATGTAGTTTTTAACAGAAACATGGTTACATGAAATTAATCAGACACCCGTTCTTATAAATGTGACCCCTCCAAGCTATATGTTTCTTTGTTAGAGCAGACAGCACAGAAAATGTGGTTGTTTAAAGATTCATTAAAGGGTGAAAAGGTTTTTCAGAGCAAATTTGTTTCTTTTGAATGTTTTGCTCTCCGGGAAAAGAGCCCATCCCCAGCCATGTTCTTGAAAGTTTACAGGCCTCCTAAGCCTCAAACCAAACCAAACCAAACCAAATATTTTTCTACATGATTTTAATGACCTTTCATCTGCAATACATGTTGATTATGACCGTTTAAAAGACAGAACTGAAGACAGAGCTGTGATGAAACTATATGATACTCTAAGAAACTTTGATTTGACTCAATATGTTGCTCTATCTAACCAATTTTCTATTATTTATAAAGGCATAATTTCCATTGACTCAGATTGCCAAAGCGATATAAAAAAAAACATCTTTAAGGATGGCGCTACTGTAATCTTTAACCTGATGTACACCTATACCTCCACTTTGCCCTGTTACTCAGGAAATGAGCTGGTATATACATGTCAACAGACAAACAAACCCTCATATGAGTGTAGATTCAATAAAAAACCCAGAGGTTCAGAGTAGGGCTGGGCGATATAGAAAAAAAGCTTATCGATAAAAAAAAATGCATATTGATCGATATCGATAATTATTGAAAATATTTGAAACCATATTTTATGTGCAGCTCTGCCTGGACTTTTTATGATATTGCTAAATGATTTAATTATAATAAAGAACACAAACACAGACTTCTAATTAAATCTTTATTTAACCAACTTTTTTAACCATAACAGAATTGTTTTAAAGAAAAATAACTTAAGAGACCTGAGTTATGTTATTAAATACTGACAAAGAATAAACTAAAGTGACCAGAAAAGTGACCAAAATAAATATAACAAATAAATGCCCCCCCACCGCCGCCCCCGTTTCCTGCTTTAACCTGAGTTATCACTTTGAAGTTTCTGGCCCCTCAGCATTTTTATCTCAATTGTTAGAACTACGTGGGAAACTGCCCGGAACTTAATATATATATTTTCCCGAAATTCCAGAAGATTCCTCGGAGGAGAGCCGCACCGGGGCCTACACAGCTCGTACTCCTGCGGGTGTGAGCGGCTGAGATGATAAAAAAAAAAAAGTTGGTTGTGTTACCAGACTTCGTTTTCACTGGTTCCCGACACATTTTACAGATGACTGTGGTTTGTTTTTTGTCCGACTTGCCATGACCGAAATACTGCCAAACTGGCGAACTACAGAAACCGTTCTTTGGAACAATTTCCTCCGCCTCTCCTTGCTGCATCTTCATGTGCTCTGTGTTGTGGTTTGAAAGGGCGGCGCTTGGTGACGGCATGCCTGGGTCCGCGATTGTGATTGGTTGGGAGGAAGTAGTGACTAGCATAAACCTACATGATAGGCTACAATGATAAGGAAGGAAAACTGCGTTTTTTTTTATCGAACTTTTATCGACTCTCTTTTTTTCTATTGCGCCACACGTCTATCGATCGATATATATCGTTATTGAATTATCGCCCATCCCTAGTTCAGAGTGGCAGCCAGTTCATCCATATCAAATCCAGTAGCAAAGTTTTACAACTGATTTCAATAGAATTTCACCAAATAGAAAACAAAAATCTCACACTAAGCTCCTCCTCCTCTTCTCTCAGATGTCCTCAGACCCATAAAACAGCAATGATCAAACTGCTGTTAAAAACAAACTTAGACAGCTGCTACTGCAAAACTACAGGCCCATCTCAAACCTCCCCTCCATCAGTGAGATTATCTAAAAAAGCTGTTTCACCAGTTAAACACCAGTTTAACCGTAACAATGACCAGTCACTTTGATTCCTTTCAGTCAGGCTTGCCTGCTCACCACAGTAGGTGTTCAATGACATCTGTATAAATGCAGCCTTTGGAAGAACCACAGTGCTGGGATTATGGGACCTTAGTGCAACATTCAAGACCTTTAATCAGTCTGTTTTATAAGGGTGTCTGAAAAACTGGGTCAGTCTTTCTGGTACAGCACTCGGCTTGGTTAAATCCTGAAGGAAGGGGACATTTGTGTAAATACAAACTATGGCTCCAACTAATGATTATTTTGCATGTCGATTTATCTGTCGATTAATCGATTTATAATCGGATAGCCAAAGGGTCCTTAAAGAGGACTTTTTACAAAATTAAACCAGACGAAACTGAAACTTCCCACTTGAGGAGTTCTGCACTGATTGCTTGTATTTGCACTGATTGCTTGTACTGTGTTTTTTCTTTTTCCGAGTAATTTCGTTGCACCCCTGTGGAGCAATGACAATAAAGAATTCTGATTCTGAAAGAGCATATTGAGAGACCAACTTTAATGCAAAATGTGTATTTATTTATTCACAATTTTGGCATAATTATTGCTCTAAGTGGGTTACTCTGTCAACTAAAGGCATGTTTTAAAATATAAACTCCAGTTAACAATTAATCAATTATTATTGTTTCAGCGCTAGTACAAACATCACATGTGGCGTTCCCCAAGGGTCAATCTTAAGGCCAATTTATGCTTCTGATGCATAGCCTCTGCAACCATCAAATCTGTCTCTGTGCACGACCACGTCCCCCGTGCAGAGGCTCTGCAACTGTCGTCGCAACCGAGGCTCTGACTACACGTCGGACAATTTTTAAAAACTGAGGAACAATGGCGTCTACGACTAAAGGTTAATTGAGGAAGTTCGGAGGTACAACCAATTGTAGGATGCTTCAGACAAATTAATATAAAAATGATCTCAGAATTCCGACTTTGATCTTAGAATTCCAACTTTTTTCCCATATTAAACTGAAATAACATTTAAAAATCAGTTAACTTTTTTTATTTTTTCAGTGTCCCTAATCCTCCTCTGCGGCATTTTTAAAAACCGAGGAACAATGGACAACTACCAAGAAAGGTTAATCGAGGAGGTTTGGAGGTACAACCACTTGTATGATGCCTCAAACAAAATATATAAATAAATATATCCTCTTCGATGTCTAGCAACTCTAGATCCATTCCTGCCACTGTGATATCTTGCAGATGCGCCATTGTTGTTTAGGAAGATAAACATTCCTGTCCGCGCTGCCGAAGTTCTCGTGAGTTCTCGAATTGGCTCCCCCTTGTGCTTTTTTCCTTGTGATTCCCTTGTGAATTTCCCTAGAAATTCCAGGCCGACGGAGCAGAAGCATACTAGCAAAACTGGTCCTTGACCAGACCCAAGCGACATTTGACATGTTCGGTTGCAGTAGTATAATCTGCCCTTTAGGGTGCCCCCTATTTAATAATTACCAACTTCCCCTAGCTTAAACACTATTATAAAACATCATACGTCACCATTACAATGCAGATGACACACAGCTAGACATGAGGATGCCACCAGGTGACATTGAACCCATTCAAGCGCTAGTTATAA